GGATGAAGCCAAGGGTCATTACTGAGAAGAAAGATGTAGTATGTGAATGTTGCAAGAAACCTAAGCACACGAAGGATACCTGCTGGAAGCTACATCTAGAGTTTATACCTCCTAGATTCAAGAACAACAATAATGGTAAGAAGAGTGGCAATGCCAATGTAGATAGTTCTTTGCTATGGTTTTGAGCCTTAAATGTGCAATTGTATTTCTTCTAAAGATTTCTTGAAGGTTTATTAACTAATTCTATGTTTCTAGAAAACTTGGAAAACTTTCCTGATTTTTTAGATTTTCCAAATATATTAGCAAAATTAGCGAAATATCTCCAAAATTTCTCCAATTCTACATGGTGAAATGTTCATCGATATTGATACTATGAACCATGCTTGTGACTTGCGAGTATGGGGTGGTTAACTTTGGTTGAAATTATGAACCATACAGAAGCTTACATCAGCTTACAATCCCCCCGCCCCAAATCTACCAAGCCCCAATACATTTGGATTCTAACAGCCCTTGTTTTGCAAGTATGTGCAAGCATGTCTGCTGAGCTGTTTGCTGATCTCGACACCCAATCGATACTGGCATGTATCCCTTTTAGGAGCCCCTAGTTTCCCTTAGCATGTTCCTATACTGTGATGGACCCTCCAAATTATTCTGCGGCCAGCTGATAACTTCTTGAATCTCCCTTAATGATAGTATCTCTGTAATTTAGGGATTTTGCCCTTAATCCCATCTGTACTGCTGTTAGCTGTGCTCTTATTGAAACTTCTACTCCTATTGGTCAACATTTCTAAGACATGACCAGCCTCATTACAAAATACACCTCCAATCCCCAAGCTTCTAGGACTCCCTAGGCTGCACCCATCAAAGTTCAGCTTGATGCACAAAGGAGGATGGGGGCATCAAACTGCGGCTGGTTTCCAAATTTCCAAAGAGGAATCAGCCACCACTTTCAAATATATGCCAATATCATCAATAGAAAATGGGAAAGCATGTCTAGTGTCCTCAATAGAGGTGTTAGTTTTACAAAGTTGTGACATTGATTGTTTCTTCAGTTGATTTTTGTGTATATCATTAGTTTTATGTCAAGCTGTATGTGTGGTGTTGACTCGATGTCCTTTATGGACTGCACCTTCATTTTATTTTGATTAATGAAATTCATGTTTACTTATAAAAAAAAAAAGACATCTATAGTCCTCACCCAATGTGCAACCTTTATAGTGATTTTGTCAATGATTTCCTCCACACTTTTTTGCTCCTCCTTAACAGTCTTGAATTCCTCTCTTCCCAGATGCATGATAGAATTGCTTCTCTAGTGCATCTCTAAAGAATTTTACCTTTCTTCCTTGGAGAAGCGGAGGCTCAAAAATAGTTTTCAAGTCATCAGGAGCAGACCACCTGCATCCAAATAAAGCAAAGAAGTGTTTCTAGATAGATGTCACATAGATGCAGGAGATTAGCATGTGGAAAGTGCTTCTACAGCTAGTTTTACCCATCAGGGAAACATGAGAGAGACACTACAATGGTCTCCTTTCTAGAATCTTGCAATAATGGATTTTGTTGTGAAAGACCTCCCAACGGAAAGCGCTTATCCTGGGTGGAATGGACCCATCCAAATTGCTTTCACAGGACAAGTCAGGTTATTGGCAAATTTCACTTCTTGGCAGGTTGACAATGGTTCTAGTATTAAGTTTTGGGAGGATGATTGGGTAAGAGTGGGGAAACTTTGTAAGATTGTACAGATTTCCTGAGAATAATATCAGAATTTCTCAATGTTATGAGATGAGGCAAGGGGCTGTGCTGTGGTTTCCTACTTTCAGAAGAGTTCTATTAGATTGGGAGTTGGAGGACTGTTTGTTGCTGCTGTCTAAACTTCAAGTGGTGGGGATCCATCCAAAGAGGTCAGGTTTAAGATGGTGGAAGGAATCTAGAGATGACAGATTGTTGGTGAAATCCTCATATAAAGCACTGACAAGAAACCAGGTTAAAAGAACTTCAATAAAGGGTGTTTTTTTTTATTGGGGGGGGTGTAAAGGGGTAATCCAAGTCCTCCAAGAGTTGAAGCTTTTGCTTGGCTGGTTGCTATGGATGATATACTAAAGATCATCGAAGAAGTAAAGGTATTCAGATGGATAGCAGGTATGTGCTTTGTGAAACTGATGTGGAGGATATACTTCACTTGTGTTTTGGATGCTGTTATCATCATCATTATTATCATCCATGCCTTATCCCAGCTATATGGGGTTGGCTACATGAATCCTGTTTCGCCAATCCATTCTATTTAAAGTCATATCCACTGTTATAGAAAATTTATTTGTGGTTTCTTTTTTCAGATTTTTAATGTGGAGCTGTAGGCCCTCGATCTCCCAATGCCATTTTTGCTCTTTGGCCAGTGCTTCATGGTAATCAAAAGGCAAAGATTGTATGGAGCTGTTTACCTTTGGTAGTCTGCTAGGAGATATGGAAAAAAGGAATAGAAGAATCTTTGATGGTAAATCAAGAAGTAAAGAAAATCAATGTTTGGGAACCAGTTCCAATTTGTTAGATTGGATTTTGATTTTACCAGAGTTTAAGGGTGTCTCTTTGATATATTAATGAAATCATTTTGCTCATTAAAAAAGGGTGTCTCTAAGGATTCTTTTGGGTTGGATTTTAGGTCTACTTAACAGTTGGAAAATGTTGGGGTCACTTGTTAAGATTTTTGTTATCTTTTTTCTTTTTTCTTGTATTGGGTTATGCCTTATCACCTTGTTTTCTTGTATTCTCTCTTTTATTTTATTGAAGTTTTCTTTTTTTTTTGTTTACTATCAAAAATAAAAGATCCATGGTGTTTTAACTGCAGATCTGATGGTTAGAGACAGTGTCACATTAATAGATCTGTGGAATAAGAAAAGAAAGAAAACCTTAGACTAATCTTGGAGTTAGAACCTAGAGTTTATTAGAAATTGGTACATAGTAGTTTCCAAGTGTTTGTACCCTCAAGAATGTACATGTAGGATGGAATGTTTACTCATTGCATGAGAATATTGACTTCTAAACCAAGAGGAAACAAAATATTTTCTACAATCTTCTTAAGTTCTATGATTTCCAAATGCAAATGCAATCTCTATACAATGACCAAACAAAACAATTAGGAAGCTACTCCATATAATATCATGGAGGTTAAATGCAAGAAACCTTTGTGGGACCTGTATACAGACTCTTGGTGATTCAATATGTGGCCAAAGCCTGAAGTATTGGGTTCATTTAACATGGGCATGATAACTGACCCATCATGGAACTTATTCAAAGGGCTATAAGAGTTGTATGGACCTAGACAATAATATGATTTTGGCTCTGCTTTTTTATAACCTTTAGGGGTGAATTTCCCGGTGAGAGAAATCTGGTGCAAACCAATCCCTCCTAAAGTGCAGGCTCTTTGTTGGGAAATGTTCCTTGGAAAGATTAACACTTGTGACGTGCTACAAAAAAGAAGGCCAAACAATTGCCTTTCTCCTCGTGTGTGTCTCCTTTGTAAGGCTAGTGGTGAGACCCTCCCTCATTTACTAATCTCCTGTTCTTTTGTGACTTGTATTTTTTATTATTTCTGTTCTCTCTTTGGTTGCAAATGGGTTACCCCATAGGATATGGTTAGTTTATTCAAATCCAATTTCTTTAGGCAACATAAGAAAAGGGGAAGATGTTTGTGGAAAATAACAGGAGCAGCCCTAGTATGGACTATTTGGGAAGAAAGATATTAAAGGATTGAAACTATAAAGGTCAGATTTGCACATTGGGCAAAAACAATGGAACTCTTCATAGATGTCTCTACAAATGACTTAATATGGAAATGGGCTGGAGTGATAGTGTGGTACAAACAGATACACACAAAGAAGTGAGAATGGAATGGAAACCCCCAGAGCCAAATAAACTGAAACTAAAATTTGATGGCAGCTCTTTTGGCAATCCAGGGAGGACAGGTATAGGGGGATTCTTTAGAAACCATCAAGGAGTAGTAGTGGCCTTATTCTCGAGGCCAATTGGATTTGGAGATTCGGTAAAGGCTGAGAAAATGGCTCTCTTACAAGGATTAAAACTAGCAGTACAACAAAATGTTTTAAAAACCGACCTGGAACCAGAACCGCTTTGGCCACCGGTTTCTGAGATGACAGTTCGACTATCCAGTTTGAACAGATAGACCGTTCCAATTTTAAAAAAAATAATTAAAATAAAAAGGTCCAAAACCATTGTCTGGGTCGAATGGGTCGATGGTTCGACCACCTGAGTCAGCGGGTCGCTGACCAAGTCAACGGTTTTTGGCCAAGGAATGGGTTAAAGGTGAAATGGAACCAGTTGCCTGGATGGTTTCCAGGCCAAACGGTCCAACTGTCTGGGTCAATGACGGTCCGAAAACCATGGTACAACTAGGTGTTAGAGAGCTAGAAGTAGAGGGAGACTGTTGGTTATTTCTTGGGTGAAGCAAGTCAACTCAGCCCCTTAGAAATATGAATTTGCTTTTAGGGAAATTGACTTTCTTGCAAAAAGTTGTTACTCTAATTTTGTCTGGGTAAAAAGGACAACAAATAGGTTGGCAAATGTCCTAGCAAAACAGGGAGCTGATAGGTCCACATTATTTTCGGCAATGTTGTAATCTGTAATAGAAAAAAAGGGGGGATGACAAACCAAAACAGTGTGGACAAGTTGTATTTCTGATGAGTTTTTTGGGATACTGTGTAGCTAAAACCTTGTATTTATCTCAGACATCAACTAATGAATTTATTTTGCTGATCCAAAAAAAAGATCAATATATTTCTCCCCATTCAGTTAGGGACCTTTATTTTCAATTGGTAATTGAAACTTCTTTATTGGCACACATCCTGATTACTGTGAGTCATGCTACCATCCCGTGCACGTTTTTTCTTTTTTTAGTTGACATTGGTATATCATACCCTCTAGGAATTATCCCCCAGTTTCAGTTAGGAACATTTTTAACATCTATCTTCCAATTCTTTTTTTGGTGACAGGTTTGTGTCCAACAAGTGGTTTGGAGCTATCATCTTTACTGGGATCTTGTTTGGAAAGATGACGTCATGATGGTATAGATGTTTTATTTTCAAAAATACATCTTAGAATCTTGCAATGCCATTTCGTTTTGTGCAACAATCACTTTCATCTTAAGGTTCATGATGAACAATTGTTCTCAATATAATTTCAGTGGTGGTGGTTATTAGATTCTTCAGTTAAGTCATTTCTTTTCATGATCAGATTGGAATTGAAATCTTTGTTTGGGCTAGAGCTAGGGGAGAGACTAAAAATCAAGCTTTTCAGTACAGAATTTTTTTTTATTTATGAATGAACAGAAAATTTTATTAATCTTTAAGATAAGACTTTACAAGCATCCCTTTGAGAGGCACGAGATGCTACCTCTCTACAAAAAGCAAATAAAAATTACAACTGAGCCCAAAACAAAATATCCTTATTCACCTCTTGCTTAGCCAATGCATCTGACATTCCATTTGCAGATCTCCTCACCCATTGTATCCTGATATTCATGTTTCAATGAGCCACTTAAGCTTCTTCATTTCATTCCTGTAGCACCAGATTATAGAGTTTGGGTCCTTTAGCCACCTCACCACCACTTTTGAATCCCCTTCTATCACCACATTTACTAGCTATAACTCATTCGCAATCTGCACTCCTTGTACTGCTGCAAGCAACTCTGCTTTGAGAGAGTCACCCAAACCCACGGGGCCTGAGAATAAAGCTACAATTTTACCTTCAGAATCTCTCAAAACCCCTCCTATACCAGAGGGGCCTGGATTACCTTGACTGCTCCCGTCAAAGTTCAGTTTCACAAAACCTTCCATAGTAGGTATTTAATGCATCTCCACACTTTCCTTTCTAGAGGAGCTTTTGGAAATTGCTTCCCAGTTCCTCCAAACATCATCAAAGGAGAATTTGGAGAACAATTCCAAAGTCTTTATCCAGTGGATAACCCTGACCATTACACAATCCCTAGCAACTTCTTTGCTCCTCTCTTTTTCTAAGAATATTCTAGCATTCCTCTCTTCCCAAATCGTCCTCACCAAGGCTGCTCTAACACATCTCCACATTATTCTTCCCTTTTTTGGTAGCGTAATCATGGAAGGGTCGAATAGTTTGTTGACCTTTGATGATGAAGTCCACCTGCACCCAAACAAAGAAAAAAACCAAAGCCTAATCTCTGCAACAAAAGGACAAGAGATTAGTAAGTGATAGCAACTCTATATTGGATTTACACAAGATACACCAGTTAGGAGAGAGACAGAATACAAAGAGTCTTGAACAAAGAGGCATAGGAGAACAAACCGTTAGGAGGGGGGGGGGCAAATACGCTTACCAGACTTCTCAGGGTCCAAACTAACATTTTAAAAGAGTTGTAACATATCCAAGCTAGCTAAGATTTCACTATCTCTTAGACCTTTATAGAAGCCAAAATCCCAATTGAGGCCCACAAGGAGTACTGGAGGAACAATAAAGTTCAACACATGCATTTTTATACAAGGAAACCGAATATAAAGTAGAAAAAGATCCTTCAATAGACAAGAGCCAATCTATATATCCTCCCAAAATTTAATAGAGGTTCTAGAGTTAACATCATACCTGACAGTCCGATGTAAAAGAGGTCAGCGGATGGCTTTCCACGGAGAGGTCAGTGTAGCCCTGTTAGATACTCCTGCATCCCAACTGTTTCCCAACCTTCCATCTATGCTAGCTATTACTTCATGCCAATCTATCCCTTTCCTTTGGCCACCTCCAAATCCATTTCCCTAACAAAGCCAATTTTTTTTTTTATCTATATTTCCAATACCCGACCCACCCTCTTGAAAACTTTTACACACAACCTCCCATTTAACTAAATGGTCTTTCTTTCCTTCACTCGGCTCCCAAAGGAAATCTTTCATGTCTTTTTCAATTTTTTTTGCCTCCTTTTGGGGAATCCTAAAGACTGACAAAAAATAAATTGGTAGGTTCGCAAGAGTAGATTTGATCAAAGTTATTCTTGTAGAGAACATTGATGTGGGCCCCACAGCTGTGGTCCCACTCTGTCCGTAGGGTAGAATGTATCTAGTCACAGCTGTGGTCAATTTGTTATTCTGTTATTCCTAGTTGCTATTTACTTTTCAGTTTTATATTGTTTGTTATGTGTTAGCAGTTATGATGTAAACACCAAGGGCAGATATGTCCTTTCATGTAACTAGCATAACATATATATATTAAATTAAAGTGGCGGTGGCAGAATATTGACATTCTGTTCTCAAAATCTGTGTTCTACTGCTCTCTCACCACTCTTTCTTCTACTTCACTTTCTCTTCTCATCGAACCTGAAATTTCTTAGTGGTCAAGACTGATAGCAGTCTTGAACACCTACAATTCTTTTGCCCAATGACACAATTTCTCTTCCAGGCTGCCAGCTTCTTTGCATACCTCTCGACAATTGGAATCTAGAATCTGCTTTCTCTAGGGTTTGCTCCTAAAGGAAGGACAATGTAGGTCAAGGGCCAACTAGCTGTGGAACACTCTAAGGTGTAGGTAATAGAGTTTAGTTCCCCTTTCTCCAAGTTGATCTCCGCTACACAACGCTTCTCAATGTTGATTTTAGGTCAGAAACTAGCTCAAACTTCCTCACCACCTCCTTTAGGTTCCTCACCCAGTGATTACAAGGTAGGTCAAGGGCCAACTAGTTGTGGAACACTCTAAGGTGTAGGTTCCTCAACCCAGGTGTGCGCCTTTTTAAAATTTTGCACTTTTTGCTTTTTTTTTTTGAGTCTAACGGCTGGGCCTGGGGCGAATCAGACCCTAACATAGACTTGTTCGGGCTTACCTCGAGGTGTGTGGTACAAATGCAACTCATAGAATCAAGTATGCAGTATGTTTTACATCACATTAGCTACTTGAAGCAATGCAATTAAGGAAAAAAAGAGATTGTAGGTTTTACATGTTCGAAAATGCTTTATATGTTTAATTTTATTTTTAAATTTTCATTTGAATACACTTTACATGTTATGTTTATGAATTTTAATTTTAGATAATAGGTTTTTTAAAACATTTATTTTAAAATTTAAGTTTATATTTTTTATTAACATTATGTTTAATATTTTTTGAATTTTTTTGCATTTTAAAAATTTTTTTGGTGATTTTGTGAATTTTTTGACTTTTTTTTATTTTTTATCTTTTTTTTTTTATTTTTTTGCCTTGCTTAAAAAGGCGCGCGCCTCGCCTTGCGCCTCAGGCGCAAATTGGCCCTTGTTTGTTTTTTGCACCTTGCGCTTTTAAAACATTGTCCTCGCTACATCTTGCCCTCTCCCATCATAGAATATTATGATATCATTTGCAAATTAAATGTGTCATTGAAACCATATTCCTTCTGATCTTTTATTTTGTTCTCCCTATCAGCCTTCAAGATCATTCTACTAAACATGTTAGCTACTATGATGAAAAGAAAAGGTGAATGAGGATCACCTTGCCTAAAACCCTAACAAGCTGGGAAGAAGTCTCTCACAACCCCATTGATTAGGATAATAGTGACATGAATTAATACAACCCAAAATCAACTTACACCATCTCTCCCCAAACCCACAACTTTTCAGTGCCTCAACAAGGAATGTCTAGTCTACCAGATCATAGGCTTTTTCTTGAAGGATTAAAATGAAATTTCATTAAAATTGAAAAAAGCAATACATCTTAGAAAAATGGTTGTCTAGTTGAAAAACCAACTACTGAACAAAATTACATTGTAAAAGACTCAAAATTCTCGATCAGATCTGACTTGTTCAATTGGTCAAACTTTAGAAGACTAAGAACTCAAGCTGCAATCGAGTTGCTCACCCCTGCTAACAAGTATTCGACATTCTTTACCTTGTTGTCAAAGATCCTTCTATTTCCCTCTTTCCAAATGAACCAACATAACAGACAAAAGGAATACAACTCCATAGAATTTGGGCTTTCTTGCTTCCTTTGATTTTCGGCCATTTAGAAAATAACTCAGCTCAGTGATTTAAAAGGCGCGCCTAGGCGCACAGGTGAGGTGCATTTCAAGGTAGGCGCCTCTATTAGGTCCTAGGTGCAACCCTTTCAAAAGGCGCACGCCTGGTGCGCCTTGCGCCTCAGCCCAGGTGTGTGCCTTTTGAATCTTTGATGCTTTTTTGCTTTTTTTGTGTCTAACGGTTGGGTCGGGGGCTCCGCCCCCGCACCCCTATTTGGTAATGTTGTTCTTTCATTCATCCTAATAAAATGTCTTCTTAAAAAGCAATTAAAACTATAAAATCATTATTTTTTGTGTGAGAACTAAGAATTTAAGACCTAAAATGGACTTGTATGGGCTTGCCTCGAGGGGCGTGGTACAAAGGTGGCTCGTAGAATTAGGAATGTAATATGTTTTACATCACATTAGCTACTTGAAGTAAGGCAATTAACAAAAAAAGAGATTGTGGGTTTTATATGCTTGAAAATGTTTTATATATTTGATTTTATTTTTAAATTCTCATTTGAATATGCTTTACATGTTATATTTGTGTATTTTAATATTAGATAATAGGTTTTTTAAAATACTTATTTTAAAATTAAAGTTTATATTTTATTAATATTATGTTTAATAGTTTTCTTACTTTTTTGCATTTTTTTTAAATTTTGTTGCATTTTTTTTGGATTTTTTTTTTTATTTTTGCTTAAAAAGGCGCGTGCCTCGCCTTGCGCCTCAAGCGCAAATTGACCCCTACGCCTTGCGCTTTTAAAACACTGACTCAGCCGGAACAAAGGGTGAAATACATTCTCTCCAAACAGAAGGAGAAAAACTTCCACATGAAGTTTGCTAAGGTGTTGTCCTTTAGAATTAGGAAGGCGCTCCCAGCAATCATAGCAAATAATCAAGGAGCTTTTGTGAAGGGGAGGCAGATAACAGATCGGATTCTTGTAGCAAATGAGAGTCTAGAGGACTTTAAGAGATCCAAGAGAAGAGGGGTGGTCTGTAAATTAGATTTGGAAAAGGCTTATGACTTGGTTGATTGGTCCTTCCTATTGGAGGTGATGATTAACTTTGGGTTTGGAGACATTTGGT